TAGTATTACAAACAAGTTTGAAAATTATACATATATCAATTTTTGATGCGATTATTTCATTATTTTTATCCGTTTAATAATTCGATTTTTATTTTTATATTATTTTAAAAATATTTTTGACCAATGTGACAAAATTGTTTCCATGCGATCCACAAGAATTTGTAAATTACTTTAAAATTTATTGTACATAAAATTCTTATAGAAAAAGAAATTCCTCGAAATATTCTTAGAAAAAATGTTTTCTTTCAAAAATCCAGGTACTCCATTTTTATATGAATTTAGTTTGCAATTGTGTATTGTGTTTTTATTTAAATATTTAAATTATCTTTTATCTTCGTTTCCATTTGAATAGCTGCTACTTAAATGATTAAAAATGGAAAATGCTTCAATATTCATATGTTATTCGCCTTTAGAATGATCATTGATTTAATTTTCCTCACGTTTCGGTGACTCTTTGTCTTAATCTAATGATTTTTCTTAAACGAAATTTGAGCAGAAAAAAAGAAAGAGGTATTTATAACCCAGGTTCCCGGAGCGCAGAGCGTAAACTACCCGGCTAAAAGAAATATTAATTTATTTTAATGTCAATAGTAATATTATAAAATGTAGAAATCGAGTAGCGAAGCAACAGACGCACAATCTATTATAAATACCAATTCAATAAAAGTCTCATGTAAGGTAAATACGTTTAATAGGAGAGAAAGAGTTTGAAAGGTTTAACAAGTTAAACAAAATAAATAAGTAATGTTAAATAAATTTTTATATATAATAAGTTATAAATAAGTTTTAAATAGTGAAATAAGTTTGATGAGTTAATAAAAAGTTTAATGATTTGAATAAGTTATAAATAGGCTTTTAAGAAGTTAAATACGATTAAATATGGCGATAAAGAGGAAGCAAAAGAAGAAGGAATTTTCAACGCTCAAAACAAAACATTCCTTGAATCCTCGCTGCCCAAGACGTATGCGCAAGCTACTCACCAGCACCGTGCTTCAATAAAGGCGTTACCATATTCTCTTGACAGAATCTCTCCAACCAACAAGAGGCATTCACAACTATATTCAACATGGTGCGATGTTTGATAATTACAGGGAATAAATATATATAAACGCCAGGCTCATCAGTGGTGAACCACTAAATAAAGACTATAGTACAAGACATTCGTTTTTACAGAATTATTATTTTTCTGGGGTCCTGAAAAAAATTATCGTCGTTTGGTTGCCATTTTCACTAGGAAACTTCTGGTCTCAAGTTGATTTCACATAGTTAACGGATACTCCGGGATTTTTAATAAAAGGTTTGAGTGTTCAAAATTTTAGTGTAAATCATAGTGTATTCGATTTTATACGTAAAAAACCCATAAAGGGCAATTATTTACAAATATTTACAGAAAAAAGTCTTAGATATGAAGGTTCTGAAAACAAACTCACAAATTTAATGAGACAGCACAAAAAGGAAATCTTTAATCCCGGGGAAAATTCCAAAGGATTATTCTAATATGGAAGAGAACTCATTAAAGTTGGACTAATCCCAGAAGATTTCTGTGGTCTGAACCTTTAATTTTATCGTGTTTGATTTATAAGGCCGATTTGAACTAAATATTTTAAAATATTTATATAAGGGATAACTTTATTATAAACTCATGCCACATTTAAAAATAATTTTTATTTTATTCAAAATCTTAGTGTTGATGTTTATTTTGAGAAATTGTTCAAATAATTTAATTTATGATTCTTCCCTGATCTATAATATTTAAATCTCTTACCTCAGCCACTTTGTCTATATACATTTTATGAACTCTATCGATTAATACACGTAAATTTGTAAATATTTAATTCTAAGTTTTGATTTTTTTGTTCTTTTGTTTGTTTCCTCTGTAATAGGCACAAATATTTCAATATCATTATTTTATATCAAACTAATATTTCGGCTTGTTTGTGTTATTGTTATTTTTATGTTAGTTTATCATATGAAATTTAAATGTAATTGTTAATTTCATGTTTCATATTGCGAACAAATAAGTGTTTCGGAAATTTGATGTTTCACAACCAATATGATAGACGTGAACTATATCGAGTCAATAGTAAGATTTATATGTTTTTTCTTTATAGTATTCAATATGAAAACTTTGAATGTTCGCATTTTTGGCATATCAGAATGAATTTAACTATTAAAAAGAGCACACATAGAAATTGTCTAGATTATATATTTAATAAGCTATGCACATTTAATTAAAGTTTTTGAAATATTTTATATTTTTCAAAAATATTTTGTTCCTACGTTATCATTATCGATATGTATCCAATCTATGATAATAAAATGAATAGGCATTGCTATCTAATGTGATACAGATAGTATTATGAGAAATATACTTACTACCAAAGTGTGTGTAGTACTATTAAAGAATAATTCACGAAAAAACAGAGTTTAGTATAAGGATAGTACTATATAAATTGCAATAAGGCTAAGCGCCATCCCTTTTATATGGGAGGGGTAGATTTTCCTTTTTGAGATCAAATATTTACGAAAAAATTCCCATATTTTGGACATTGAAATTGTCCTAGCCATTTGATCTGCTAAATAAACCATTAGCTTATTCTGAAACTTTCACGAATAGTTTACTAATCGCATGGAATCGCAGCTTGCCCTATACACACGTAACTATAGGTTTGAAGGCAAATATTTCCTGTGAGGTCTACTATGTTAGAATATAAGTTAAACTTCGGATAATCGCGCATTTAGCGCGCTGACAATTATTTTAGTATCAATAATAACGATAGAATTATCTTTAGATATCTAAGTTTCATTCGGAAAAATCCTTGAAGAAACCCTATGTATATTTTGGGAATATATATAAGATAGAACAATCTATATTGAACTCTTCAGTTAATATATTAAAAAGGCATATATTGGATCGAATAAAAACATTCATTTGTCAATATATGGGTTTCTGAACGCCAACCCTTGTAAAAATATTATATTTTGTATAAATAATGCGCGGCGCTGAGTTTGTTTATACAAAATATATTTCTTAACAAAGGTTGATGTTAGCCAACTGGAATATTTTCAAAAAATATATATTTTTTTATGCAAACAATAAATTCCTTTTTTATATAAAGTTGTGTTTACTAATTATATTAAATATTGTTATTTATATGTTATTCTTTATGATTAAATTGAGAGTATAATGTTGTGTTTATAATGATACTAATATAATATTTGAAAAAGAAATATTATTCAGTAAAATTTTGATAAGGCTTAGAGTTGGCTGTCTTTAGAGACAAGGTTGACTAACGGTAATTCGACTGGATCACCAGCCAAATCGAAGTTTTAAAAACAAATTATGTCTCAGCATGTCAGCTAGGTGGTGTGTGCCAACCTGGCTCAATCTGATTACCGCTCTAGCTGGCTGACGTATCTAACTAATCCAAACTTCCCCAAATTGAGATAATTATTCTGTAGAATGATAGATACAACTGTTAATCAAATTAAATTTCTGAACCACGGTCTCTTGGATTGTTAATAATTACAGTTACTGTATCGCAATTGATCTAATGTTTGAAATTTCCACAACTGGGCAAATTGAAGGTTAAAAGGCTATGCTAGTCTGAGTAACGCTGAGGTATTTCAAATATGTCTTCGTATCTAAATTCTCATACATTCTGCAACGTCTTACAACAGTGTATCAACCTCAATCGACTTGGAATAACTCGAAGGTATAGCTAGGAGATAGAGAACACGTGTGTGAACGCGTTGTGAAATATCTAGAACTCATTGCCAACTCATTATAAAACTTATAAATCTATCATTTTTAACATTATATTATATTTGATTAAAAAGGCATATATTGGATTGAAAATATTTATGCCTTTTTAATTATTCTTGAAAAAGGTTGGCTTTCAGCTAACTGAAATATTGGGATAAATACAATTATACACTATTTTTTATCCAATATATATGCCTTTTTAATTAAATATCTATTTATGGATTGCTCTATATTCAAAATTATATTTTGTCTATTTTAAAAGTAAAATTCCATCTCATGGCCGCTCACCTAAGCATTTTATATGGCTCTTTGTCACGTGAGAGGTTAGAATATGCTCCATTTATATTTTTAATATCACCAACTGACCTTCTCTCTATTTTTCCTTTTTTCTTCACTTTTCAACGGAAATAGATACGACCTAGACACTATACCAGCCAAATAAATCTTTGGAAGATTGTGAATTATTAATTTTTCTTTGTGGATTTCATCAAATCAAAGCTCTCGCAGAATTTTCCTAAATCATGGTCCCTAGGTCGGGGCTAGTCAGATTTCTGAAGCTGGTGTTGTGGCTTTGTCACTGAATTGAGTTAGATAGCTCGCACTAATGGCAATATATAGCCCTTTTGCCACTTTGCCAACTAAGAACCTTTTTGGCAGATTGTGAAGATTCCATTAGCTCCCGTGGGATTTCATAAATAAAATTCGCCCTAGACTGACGAGCGCCAATAGCTCGAAACCATGTTCTCTTGGGTGGACGCTTCTCAGTTTTCCAAAGCTGTTGATGGGGCTTTGTTGTCAACCCGAGGCCGCTAGTTTGCGGCGGTAGTGAATAGATGGCATCTGGTTTTGACGTTAATTTTGACGGGAGAGGCGTCCTTGGTTTTTATTACAATATATTACCATATTTAGTGTTTTATCATTCAAATTTATATATTATACCACTTGATATATTTAACTAAAGTTCTCAAATAAAAAGCCGAAGTGGGTTAGGTATGATATATCTCTCTATATATAAAAGTCAATTTTTGTCTGTCTGTCTGTTTCGCGATAAACTCAAAAACTACTGAACCAATTGGTACCAAATTTTGCATGTCGCTTTTTATAAACCTCAGGAAAATTTTCGGCTGCATTTTGATTAGTATTTTTGGCTATTTCTTTTTTTCATTTGAAGAACTCTTTTTACGCGGACTAATCCGGAATGGAATGAATACCTAAATATGGCCATTTTTTTAAAGCATCGGTGGTTCAGTGGTAGAATGCTCGCCTGCCACGCGGGCGGCCAGGGTTCGATTCCCCGCCGATGCATTTTTTTAAAACAATTTTTAAAACTCATTTATATTATATCTTCTATATATATAAAAATAAATTAACACAAAGCAATAACGCGCCATCTATACATATAAAATAAAAGGACTTAAAAGCGCGAATGTTTCTTTTATACATAAAACGAACTTCTACTGTCCTTACTGCGATGAAAAAATATATTGGGAGGGCTTGGCTCATCAGTGGTGAACCCTCCCAGCGGTTTCGCCAATTTAATCCACCAGACCGCTTCTCAGAGCTCTAATATTGTATTGGATCATTCTGCTTTTATATGCTACACTGAAGGATGGAATCTTAGAAATGGTTTTCAAGTAAACTATGGACATAAGCTTATAGGACAGTAGAATTATATTCAAATATTTGCTTCGAGCAATGCTCTTCAGCAAACTATAAATACAAGGTCATTAGGAATAAATTAACACAAAGCAATAACGCGCCATCTATACATATAAAATAAAAGGACTTAAAAGCGCGAATGTTTCTTTTATACATAAAACGAACTTCTACTGTCCTTACTGCGATGAAAAAATATATTATCGCAGTAAGGACAGTAGAAGTTCGTTTTATGTATAAAAGAAACATTCGCGCTCTTAAGTCCTTTTATTTTATATGTATAGATGGCGCGTTATTGCTTTGTGTTAATTTATTCCTAATGACCTTGTATTTATAGTTTGCTGAAGAGCATTGCTCGAAGCAAATATTTGAATATAATTCTACTGTCCTATAAGCTTATGTCCATAGTTTACTTGAAAACCATTTCTAAGATTCCATCCTTCAGTGTAGCATATAAAAGCAGAATGATCCAATACAATATTAGAGCTCTGAGAAGCGGTCTGGTGGATTAAATTGGCGAAACCGCTGGGAGGGTTCACCACTGATGAGCCAAGCCCTCCCAATATATTTTTTCATCGCAGTAAAAACAGTAGAAGTTCGTTTTATGTATAAAAGAAACATTCGCGCTTTTAAGTCCTTTTATTTTATATGTATAGATGGCGCGTTATTGCTTTGTGTTAATTTATTCCTAATGACCTTGTATTTATAGTTTGCTGAAGAGCATTGCTCGAAGCAAATATTTGAATATAATTCTACTGTCCTATAAGCTTATGTCCATAGTTTACTTGAAAACCATTTCTAAGATTCCATCCTTCAGTGTAGCATATAAAAGCAGAATGATCCAATACAATATTAGAGCTCTGAGAAGCGGTCTGGTGGATTAAATTGGCGAAACCGCTGGGAGGGTTCACCACTGATGAGCCAAGCCCTCCCAATATATTTTTTCATCGCAGTAAGGACATTAGAAGTTCGTTTTATGTATAAAAGAAACATTCGCGCTTTTAAGTCCTTTTATTTTATATAAAAATGAATGTTTATATGTTTGTTTGTTTGTTTGTTGGTTTGTATGTCCGGTATACAATTTCGCAGTAGTTCACTAATTCAAACCAAAATTTCCATACATAGGTAAAAAAAATACGGGAAGACGATAGGCTATTTTAAAAAATATATAAATCAATTAATAAAACTATATATTATTAGTCAGAAAATGATGATGACGATATTGCTGTATCATGTAAGATTATCAGATACAAAATTATATCTGGAAAAATTCCAAAAAGCAGAGACCACGGGTGAAACCAGCTCATTATTTTGTACGCAGGAACAAAATTCTAACAGAAAAACATTCATTCGAGCAGAAAACAAAGGCCAGATCATCTTACTATAAAAATATCGCTTCTCACACACAAAGTTTGGAGCGGGACGTTGCACAAAAGTGACATCCACGGTGCCAATTTATAATTTTAACGAATATTATTTGAATAAAAACATTTAATCGGGTAAAACCCGGGCGTTGCCCGGGTCATTCGGCTAGTTTTAAATAAATAAGAAACATATGAGAGAGAGAGATCATTTGAAATTCTTTGAAATATTTAGTCAAGCATTAATAATATGGAAATGCGCCGAAACAATGGCGGGATCCCTCCATGCCTTCCATTTTGAATCTATAAACAAAACATACAAATTAAACGACACTAAAAGCATATTATTAATTCTATGCGATGTGGAAGGCTCGTGTTAAATCAGCCGTGTTATAGTTTTCGTTTTCTTCATCCAAATGGACCACGGCATTTGGCGATTCTATTAATCTCCTCCGAACGGTGACTGCGAGCTCGTAGAATTTAAATAAACCAAAAATAAGACCTTGATGAAACGTCATTGGAATCATCTTGTTATATAAAAAGAGAATAATGATTTCCTCCCCTTTTTAGATATTAAAATCATTAGAATAGAAGATAAATTAAATACAGGCTTATATTATAAACCATCTTTCATCGCAAACTACATTAAATATTCTTCATTCTGTCCTCTTAGCCATAAGATCAATACTATAAAAACATTATCTAAAATAGTATTCACACATTGTTCTTTACATCAATTAAAAACAGAAGAAAGGCAAAAAATTATTAAAAACCTATTATCATCAGGTTACACAAAATCCTTCATCCTACGACATGTTTATCAGACTGCAGAAAATACCAATTCAATAACCCATTTAGAAGCATTATGCATCATTCCATATTTTCTTCAATCAGTATCCATAGTTAAAACACTTAGAAAATATGGTATCAAAACTATGTACAATAATTCTCCAAATTTAGGTTATATGATTAGAAACCCATTAACAAAGAATCAATTCAATATTCCACTTAATAGAAAAGAAGCTATCTACTCCATATCTTGCAATAACTGTAGTTCTAAATATGGAGGGGAGACTGGGAGAAAGGTCCACAATAGAATAGCCGAACATAAAAGGAATATTAACAATAAAACGATCCAAGATCTTTAATAGTTCAACACATAGAAGAAACAGATCATACATTTAACTTATCTCAACCGATACCGGGACAAATACTATCCCATAGCGCTCTTCTGTATATAACACAATGGTTAACGAATAAATTTAATTTGAAGTTCGAGATATCATTCAACCAGCACGTATAATCCACCACACAGGTATACGAGGTGTGTTCAAAAAGTATCGCGACTTTTGTGTTTTTCAAAAATTATTTATTTATTCATTAATACCTATTTTGTCCCCTTCAAAGTAATCCCCATGAGATATTATAGACTTGTGCCAACGGTTTTTCCAATCTTCGAAGCACTTCAAAAAATCATTTTTGAAAATCTTTTTCAGCTCCTCCTTCGATGCCGTCTTTATCTCGTCAAGCGTAGCGTAACGTCGTCCTTTCATGGGCCTCTTCAGTTTAGGGAACAAGAAAAATCACAGGGGGCCAGATCTGGGGAATACGGTGGCTGCGGCATTATTAGTGTGTTGTTTTTGGTCAAAAAGTCGCGCACAAGCAACGATGTGTGAGCAGGGGCGTTATCGTGGTGCAAAAGCCAATTTTTGTTCTTCCACAAATCCGGGCGTTTCTGGCGGATTGCTTCGCGCAAATTGCGCATGACTTGCAGGTAATATTCCTTATTGACCGTTCTACCCTGTGGCAAGAACTCATGATGCACCACGCCCCTGCAATCGAAGAAAACTGTCAGCAAAACTTTCACATTCGACCGAACTTGGCGCGCTTTTTTCGGTCTTGGTTCGTGCGGCAGCTTCCATTGAGATGATTGAGCTTTGGTTTCCACGTCATAACCATAAACCCACGCTTCGTCACCAGTTATGACCCTCTGGAGAAAATTTGGGTCGTCTTGGACAGAGTCCAACATCTCATTAGCAATGTTCATGCGATGCTATTTTTGGTCGCAATTGAGCAATTTTGGTACGAATTTCGCGGCGACCCGTCTCATGCCCAAATCATTGATAAAAATCGAATGGCACGAGCCAATCGATATGTTTAGGTCCTCAGCAACTTCTCTAACGGTGATTCGACGATTGGCCAATATCATTTTCTCCACTACATTAGTTTTTTCGTCTGTTGTTGAAGTGCTCGGGCGTCCGGCACGCTCTTCGTCGTTCACATCTTCTCGGCCATCTGAGAACATTTTGTACCACCGATAAACGTTGCTTCGGTCCAAGGTAGCTTCTCCGTATAACCACAGTCAACATTCGGAATGCATCCGCGCACTTAATTTCGTTTTTCACAAAAAATTTGATACAGGTTCTTTGATCCATTTTTTTAATAGGTAAAAATCGAAGACGATCCAACAGCTGTCAACAGATAAGTAAACATTCAAAATGGCCGAGCTTGTCGGCATAAGTGAGAGACATGAGTACCAACATAAAGCCACAAAAAGATCGAAATTCGAATATACGTAACCCGCGAAAATTCAAAAGTCGCGATACATTTTGAACACACCTCGTATTTTCAAAATTTTGATTTTCAAACAGAAATAATAGTATATTTTTCTCTCAGTATATAATAGGTATTCGAAATATGTATATAATAATATGTATATAAAAATTGTATTTATTATTAGGTTGTTAACGTAATAATACTGTTGAAGGACTGACAAGTCCGAAAGCTTGAAAATAAAAAGTGGCACAAAAAACTCAACCTTGGAAGGTTCATTTATTTTAAAAGTTATATATTTGTTGACTATCGGATTTAGACAATTATGAATCACCAAATAGTTCCTCTCTTTGTTTCTCCAAACAACAGCAACCAAAAATTGTGATTCTATTCAAAAAATTATTATATATATTTTTGTTTTCATAAGTTATTCGTAATATTCGTAGCTAAATATGGGAGATATACAAAGTTGATATTCTTCTAAACTGTTGGCCACCCAAATTGCAACACTAAGAAAAAACAGGAGATATTACAACAAAATTTATTTTGTAGATAACATGTTGACCAAGTATCAAATGATTAAATTTATAGACTTCTGCGAAGTATGGTTCCTGCCAGAATCAGTAGCCAGAGTAGCCGCCATTGTTGGAGATCACCGTTTCCACACGCCTCGGCATTGATTCAAAGAGACTGGGTGTGTTCTTGGGATACAGCAGAAAAAGCAGCTTCCACACG